CAGACCTTTAAATTCTCTAGTAAACGTAGGTAGCACATGGTCTTCATAACCCTCATCAGCACAGAAGTGAAGTATGAAACTCTCATCCTCTTCAGGTGGATAGGGAACATGAGTGAAAACTTTGATTCCTCTATGCATCACCGGAAGCTCAAAAGATGTCTCAAAGCAAAGATTAGGAGCAACACCGTGATCGAAGTGCACCATATAAAAGTCTTTTTCTTCTCCACAAATATCATGAACATTCACAACCTCTCCTCCAGACTCTGTATCACTCCCCATGAATGCATCCCAATTCGTTTTGTCACTTTTCTTATTAATATCCTCCAAGCAGTTGTGATCATTCTCCACACACAAAGAAATATCATCACCAAGGAATGGATAAAAGAAATCCAAATCTGAAACCATGAAGAGTGGACCGGTGCATGTGTACAAGAAGGGAATTCTTGCTTGTGGAGCGGGACTTCTTCATTATGGACATCATCTACCTCGCCCCTACTCTCTTGGAGCATGTGATCATCTTTTTCCAACTCATCTTCAGTACCCAAACCTACCTCAGTGGCTGCATCAATGTCATGACTAATCTGCTCCTTGCCATCCTCAGGTGTTGAGACTAATGGTAAATCAAACGGCTGGGGAGTTTCTGTATGAAGATCACAGTGATTTGTGACTTCATCAGTTACAGCTTGTACCGTTTCAAACTTTTTCCTGTATTCTTGGAAAAACAACTTCACACTATTATCTTCTTCTTCTTCATCATCTTCAAACATAGGAGGGTCTTCAAAAGCACCGGGAAGTGTATCATCCATCATATTTCCACCTTCGCAATCCGACTCACTCACATGATCATCCCTATTGGTCTCCTCAGGTTGGGCTTTTGTGTCGCTAGGATGGGATCTCTCGGACTCCTCAGATAGGGCGTTAAACAGCTGATCAAAGTGATTACTGAAATTCTGCATTCTGGCTGTGTGTTGCATGATTCCCTCTTCCAAGTAAGAAAGCCTCTTTAAATCTGCCTCCTCTAGATCCTCTTGTTGATTATGAGGCTCATTACTCGGGAAGTATGTAGGAGTGGCTGAAACATTTGTGTCCGTAAATTGTGGGGAGGAAGAAGTGGGGTATGCAGTTGCCCAGTAAGGATGGTCGTATGGAGGAATGGGGAAAAGACATGAATGGTGACCACCTCCACAGAAGGAACAAATGCTATTTTTAGGAAATCAATCAACTAATTCCTCGGGACTTTTAGTTCGAATGAAGAATTCCATAATGGAGCCTGGTTTTGTCCGAAGATATTGTGGATAAGGATACTGATTAGGAGAATGAGATTGGGAGTATTGCGTATTTGGAAGAGAGTAAGAATAGGAAGATGGAAACTTTTGTGGTGTTGGAGAATAATTTTGATGAGGTGAGTAATATTGAGGAGGAGGAGGAGGAGGAGTGTAAGGAGGGTATGGCGTATATGGTGAATATTCCATGGAGGTTTGAGGGTAAGGATTCCTCCAGGAATTTGGCTGAATAGGTTCATCTCATGCCTCTTAGAAAAATACCTGAAAGGTTAGCACAGAAAAATCCTACGGAAAACAAAAAGAAAACTAACTAAAAAAAATCTCACTGAAATTAATTGACCCTTAAAACCGACACCGTCCCCGGCAACGGCGCCAAAAACTGATGTGAGTTTTCTCGCACTTAAAAAGATTGTAATATAGTGGTGTAAGTACGAGTATCGTCTCCACAGGGACGGACAAAAGGGAATCAAGAATGAATTAAATTCAGCGATTAAAAAGAAATAAAATAAATGCGTCGTGCGAGATTTGATTGGGTGGAAAATTAAACTAATGCTAATGAGCAATAAAATAAAAGGATTGGTTTCTCTCTAATTAATGACGAAGGGAATAGGGATTGATTCCGGGGTAACCAGATTTCTGGCAGATCAGGCCTAATTACATGAAATTAATTTAATTGAGCCTAGCTAATCATTACTAAGTTCTTACCGCTCTCGCGGCGTAGAGTACAATGATTTAGGGGAGCAGACTGATCTCTCATGCGACAAGATCATTAATTATTGCCAAGACGAGCGAGCTTACGGCCCCTTAATCGCTACTAATCTCTTAGCGAACGATTAAGTGTGTGTGAAGGTGTCCTAGAATAAACTAGATCTCTCTTAATTTATTCTACAAGCAATTGTAATTCTAGCGCGCGTTCTAGTTTACAAGAGATATCAGTTAAATTATTCAAACACAAATTAAACGACATCATGCAATTATTAAACCGACAAGAATCTAGCCATCAATCATGATTAACCCCTTCATCAACCCCAAATCCCTAATTAAACTACTCACAATTCATAATTGAAGAATCAACAGAATTGAGATGAATAGAATTAATTGTCATTAATTAAAAAGATGAACTTACAAATAATCCCAGGGTCTTGGAAGAAAATAGCGTAAAAACGATGTTAAATTCGTCCCTAGGCCTCTCCGTAATGTTCGTAACGTCAAAATATGGGTATGGGGGTCTTATTTATAGAAAACAGATGAGTTTGGGCTGAACTGGGACTAAAAAGGGGCTGAAATCCGCGTCTCGGGTGTACGCACGATCGTGCGTACCCTGCCACGCACGATCGTGCGTAGCAGGCAGAACAGTTGTCGCGTTGTTGGCTCTTACGCACGATCGTGCGTCCTTTTACGCACGGTCGTGCGTCCGTGCTCTTAGGCCTTTTTTCTATTCCGAATTTGACAAAATTTCCTTCATGAAAGTTGTAGATAATGAAGTCTTCTATCCACCCCAACTTTCCGAATGTGATTTGAATCATCCAATCAAGAGATATGATCAAAATGGTGGAAGGTGTCATTCTGAAATCACAGCAGAGATCATCTGACTTCATCATCTGTTTTCACCTTGATCCTCTCAGATTCTCGGAATGATGTATTCATATGATTTGTAGCCCTTGAATTTGGATTTCATATGCAACTTGAATCGTGTCCTTTGGATTCTTCTACAAAGAGATATGCTTGAACGATTGACCAAAGGTCATCCTGATCGTCGTTTTCCAGCTTCATTCATCTTTTTTTGATCCCGAAGCCAATCCTAGAGCTCTTTTGTCATCAAATCTTCATCGTAAACCTCCCGGTGACCTCCATTGCTCTCAAATCAATCTCAAATGCTTCTCAACTCATCCCGATTTCTCCTCAAGCGCCAGTGCCGAACTCTAAAATCCTGATTTTGACTTCAAGTGACACAAAACTCGAACCAACGCCTGTTAAACATAACTTGAGCTAAAATTAAGACTTGCAACACCTTAAATCTAGGAAAACCATCAAAATCCAATCCCAACACGCATCAAATGCGTGTCTAAATACGGACTTATCAAGTAACGTTACAATGGAACAAGGAAGATCAAATGCAACAATTGACAATTTATTGACCCATAAGGGTGAATGAGTGATGGAATCTATGGATCAATTGAATTGAACTAGTAACTCAAATGTCACATATCCAATTAGTGGCATAGCAAGGAGAAAATAGTGTGGCGGGCTGGTACAAAATGTCTTTTTATACGGAGTATAATTCACATGTACAAACGTTACTTGTAATTGACTTTCAAAAGAAAACGTTCATGTAATTGAACTAATATTTGAGGTATGTGGGGGCACAATATTTGACATTTAATTATAGTGTAATACTCCGTATCTATTACTACCTCTGTCTCAAAGTAAAAATCATAAAACTTTGGATACCTAGACTAAGGAAGTGGATAAAAGCCTCAAGTACCCTCCCTTTTTAGTGTAGCGCTAAAAGCAAGGCTAAAGTGGCCATTTTACTTGCGATTAGTTGCCAAAAATGAAAACCAGCTTTTGTTTTGGGATAGCCAAAGGAAAAAGTCCTACCTCCATCCCAAAGTAGTAGTTACAAAATTTTGAGTGCTTAAATTAAAAAAAATGTGAGAAAAAACTGAAGCAGTCATTTAATTTTGTTATAACGGTGAAAAATAAGTGAAAATGGAATTATAAAGTTGTGTGTTAGGATGTTTTCTTTTGGATTGAAATTTGTTGGTCTGGTAAATGTTTGGTCTGGTAAAGGTATGATCTTTATGTATTTTATAACTATGAAAGTCCGGTCTAATTTGATCTGGTCTGGTCCATCCTGAGACTGAAAACGTCCAAAAGAAAACATCGTAAGACCATTTGTCAAAAAAATATAATTTATACAATCCAAAAAGTATTGGACTATTATTTTTAGACGAATGAAAGACTGACGTTCAGGGTGAAGTATAAACTTGATCATACATCCACTGCTCAAAGATAAGATAGAAAGGTGTGATGTTTTCTTATTGAATTCTTATATTCAATAAAAACATAAATATGAGTGCTCCCCTAACTCATACGTTCTAAGTATGATAGAAATTAAAATGGAATCCTTCGTATAACTATTTAGCGAAATTGGAGTATCAGAGTCAGAATTGTTAAGTAATAAAATTTTAAGAAATAATTGATGCCCAGTCATTTTCCATCCTTTGTAATGGAGTCAAAGAATTACTTTTTTTTTTGCTTGAGAATATGATGAAATAAAGCAAAATGATCACTAAACTGTCTGCGCTTCTTTGTTCTTCTTGTTATGAAGCAACAGTCAGTCCATGCAATTTTCGATGCGATTTTTACTATTTGTCATCCGGAAACAATTTATCTGTGCTTTAGTACATGGGTAAAGCTGTGTACATCCGACCCCACTTACTCCAATGTAGGTGAGAGACTTTGCGGCACTGGGATGATGATGATGAGTGGATGCCCAATAAAAAACAGGAGTGTGATTGAAGTTTGATGCGAGAAAAGCAATTCCATGATTTCCATCTTAATCCTCTCCACTACAAGAACTTAGGGGTTGCTCCCCTCAGCTTAGGGAGATTCAAGTATGTGAAGACTATCACCACTTTCAAAGTTCTCATCTTTTATGATCTTTTATGATCACACACCAAGAATTTTACAGGTCCATTTAGCCTTAAGTCCTTAACCAGCACACTGTTAGTATCTCCTTCCTCCACAGAAAAATAAAGAAACAAAATGTACAATGTTTTTACAATAAAGAGGGGGGGACATCCACGTTAACGGGCTTAACTTGTTGTAACAAGGAGATCCGATCGATCAAAAGCGTCTTCATATAATTATATAATACGGAGTATCAAAATCTAATAATTGAAACCTACACATTTTTTTCTACCTAATACCACAAGCCCCACACTACAGAGCAATTACAACAAGAACCGTCCTTAGTTGTTATAACTTTTCAATTTCTTCAAGTGAATCAAATTGTGCACTAACCCGAGACAACTCCTCTTGATCCATGGTGGCCATGCTAAACCATTTAGGTGGGCAGTAACCAGACTCTTCTTTTAGGGAAAAACCTGAATTTGGAGTTGGTGGCTCCTTCGAGGAGAAGGAAGCTTCTTCTTCGAGGCGGAGGCAATCATCAGACTGTACCTGGATCTTCTCTGGGTCGCGCCTCTTAAATAGTTCGGTTTTCATCTCCCAGCAAGCTTTTAAATCCTCCTCATTTCGAGCTGCATTTAACTTATCAATTAAATCACTCAATGCGGAAGTCCACTCGACGTGAGGAGACTTATTATTTTTGTCATTTGTCTCGGGATTTTTGGGAAGTTTTTCATTGGTGCCTTCATCAGACTCTAACTTCCTACGCTTATGCAGCCCCTTCTCAACAATGCATTGCATCCTTTTTCTGGTGTTCTCAATCCTAACTGGATCTGATCTAAGCTGCAGCTTAAACCCTGCTACCAGTTTTTCCTCTTCGCCGGACGGTTCAGGATTTTCTGTGGAAGATTTGTTGTCAGTTTGCCAGTCCTGTGAAGAATTCACTGCAAAGACTTCCTCTAACAAAGATACATTTTGCATGTAACGGTCAAACGCTTCATTTTCAATTTCGATGTTGTTGTCCCTGAACTCCTTCAGCTTCAAAAATCTCCATTCATTTATAACTTCTGCTTCCTGAAAAGCATCGTGGATGGGGTTAGCTGCTTTGGAAGGATTTGTTTGGATTGAGAAGGGTTTTGGAGGGAAACGCTTTGAAGGTCTATATCCTGATAAATACAATGTTTCTAAGAACGAGTAAAAAGGGAGTGAAATATTATTTTATCATCAATTGTTTATTTCTTCAGCTTTTATAAAATCTCAAGATTATATTTAGCCCTCCAAAGTCATCCCATCCAATACCCTACAAAAATCAACTCCAAACAAACACTAAATGTACTTCATAACAAATAAGCAATATAATTTACTTGTGAAATTTATAAACCTTTCTTGTTATTGGCTTCCTTGACCTGAGTGGGCTTTGCAAATTATTGAACTGAGCAAAATTTGTCGAAAGCTGACGGAATGAAGCAGGCCTGTGTGAAGTCCTGAGTTGGAGAAAAATACAAAGATTAAAAATAGGAAACATCGACCAACATTGCCCTATTGAGAGAGCAAAATATGCAAATAACATTGTCCAATTAAAAGATTTACAATGTGAAATGATTTGAAATCAAAGAGAAAGTCTATAATTATGTACTTATTTAATGGATAAAATATCAAAGTAAAGAATGCCATTTATTTCTATGATTTTAGCAAAAACTATAATGGAAATACTTGAGGAGCAGCTACAAATGGTCTGAATGTAGAGTAGTGGGGATAAATATATAAAGATCATGCATGAATTCACACTACAGCTTACCCAGGGTGAGAAGCATCATTGGGCTGTTGGTCTACAATAGGAGAGCCAAAAGATGGTGCTTTATCTGGAAGATTTGATTGACCTTTAAGTACTGCAAAACATTGCAATAAATGATGTTAATCATTGTCAGACTCAGATACACCAAAAAACAGGTAGCATAAAGATACTCCCTCCGTCCCAAATCATATCACACATCTACTGTAATTATGTTCCATAAAAATCCCTCAAGTGGGTCAACAGTGCCAATCACTTTAAAATATTGGGTAAAAACGGGTCAGATGCCGAATTTAGAAAATGACAAAGTTAGCCTTGATCAAACTAGGAACGTTGACATTAACTAAGGAAGAAAGAAATGGAAAATACAGAGTAATAATTACCATTTAAAACCTTGAAATTCCCTAATTGTATCACTGCATTATATACTATCCAACCTTTCTCCCACCCAGCCACTAATATTATGACAATTTTTTTCAGGTTTCAACTCTAGAAAGACATTTCAACCAGCTTAGATCATGAACTGCTTCAATTTCATTTAATTCTATGGTTCTTGCTTGAGGGAAAGAGGAAGGATATTAGATCTGTTATAGCTATTTATTATTGATGAACATTTTAAAAGTTATTTACAGTTAGGATGCAGAGTGAAGAAACAGTATGGGTCACCCAGAAACAGTCTCTCTGTGCTTTAGTACAGGGGTAAGACTGCGTACATCCGACCCCCCCCCCTTACCCTACCGTAGGTGGGAGCCTTTGCGGCACTGGGGTAATGATAATGATGATAATGATATATATGCAGAGTGCAGACAGATTCATTCACTCCTGATCTACAATCGTAGAAGTCTAGCACTTTACTCAAATTCCATTTTGAGGTTTACTATATGCATATTCTCAACGGCTACAATCCAATAATTTGTTATTTATGAAGTAGAAAGGTTCTGAAATATAGGCTACATACGTCATAGAACAAACATGCACGATATACATTGAGCCCCAGCGAGTAGATATAGCATTTGACATCAGCTAAGGCCTAAGGGAGCTTCAGATTCGCAACTAGTCCAGTGTAAAAATTTACATTACAAATGGGAACCATATAGGGAACAAATGAAATGATGATGCTTTGAAATTGTAATGACGAACCATGTATATGACAGGGATTCTGAGCTTTGGCACAGCAACTTTTGCAAGACTGAAATGGACACCTGCAAATTTAAATATAGATTATCAAAAGACAGAAGAAAATTTAAGGTACCTTACACACTGGATAGGGAAAACTCATGTGAACAACAAGTTGATTAAACAAGATAGTATGGCCCATCATAAGCTGAAAATGTAAGTTAACAAGATAGTATGGGCCATCGTAAGCTGAAAATGTAAGTTAACAAGGAAGTATGGGCCATCATAAGCTGAAAATGCAAGTTCTCATACATAGGATCAGACTATGCTCATGAAAAACGTTATCTACTTATTCCACTTCAGGAAATAAAAAGAGATATGATAACATTTTAACACTTACTGATAGCTGCCAAGAAATACAAATTACAGTCCGAGACTAATAACTGGTACCTCAATTTAATACTATTTCTCAATAGTCACAATAGGAAATAAATTATGAATCTCAAATAAGATAGGTATAGACGTACAACTACATCCCCAAATAAAGATCTGATTAAAAGATAAAAAGAGCTTGATGAGTAATAATAACCGTAGTAATGACACTAACAGAAGAGGGGGTCAGTAGCCTGCTAAATTTATCAGTGTAAGAAATGGAGACGTTATTAAAGATGAAAATCCTATGTGAGCCATATGAATTTGAAACACAGAAACTTTGGGGGAAAATCACAGTATCTTTTTTCGTCAGTTGTCATTTGTCAGTAAGACAGCATCTATCTCCTACTCTCCCACGCCCTAGATGGGTAGATGATGCTAAAGAGACCTCTTAGACATTTTCATCACTTTTTTTACTATACATATCTGCTTATCCTACACTCCGCAAATTTTGCTAACTACTTAAACAGGCCCCTATCCATGAGAGGCAAAAATGTTCGGTGCATTTACATAAGGATAACTATGAACTTAAAATACTTGAAACATCCCTATTCTTTGGCATAAAATATAATTTTCACAAATACCAATTCCTGCATGGCTGCAAAATAGATAATTTGTAAATAAAGAGATGATGAATTTAGAGGCTGAATCCAATAATCTCCTAGGTATGGCTAGCTATGCAAATAAAGTTAACCTAGTATGTTCTCAATCATGCTTCGCCCGTCAATCTGCCATGTAACTGTTTCATAGTCAAACTAGCATTCCTTGATGAATTTCTTTGTCATTTTTTAGATTTTAAAGCCCAACTTCTTTGTTTCAAAAGACTTTTAATGTCACTTCTAAGTATAGAGATGTAGATTATATTCACTAAAATTGAATTGCGCTGTAAATGTATCAATTTGCCCGTCATGCATCTTATAAAATATGATGCACATGTGTGTTTTCCCTCATACACATCCACTGACATGGTAATGCTTCCCTTTTTAAGATTTTTGGCCCTTTCAAGCAGAATTTAATTTTTTCTCCATACTATGTCTTTGTCGCAGAAACTGATTTTGAACACAGTCGAACAAAAAAAGATACTCCGTATAACAAAATTTCAAGTGCACAATATTGGGTCCCTAGCGTTAACTTCCAATCACTTTCCTTGTGCTCATTAGTTTCGATATCAAGCAACTGTAGAACTTTTTGTTTCATGAGGTAAGGGTCCACGAAATAGAGTTGAAACTTCAACCCTACCAGAATGAAAGGAAAATGAAAATGGCAAAAGTGTTGATAAATACTTAAAACCTTGACCTTTTAACATAATTATCAAAGTCTTTTAAGCCCAAACTTGAAATTTTAAATTTTATACTTTCAAATAGCATCCTGGATTCACTCCAGACATTACATCCTTTGTGGACTCCGAAAAAGCTGAGATTATTGAATATTACAACCAACTAACCAAGGTCACATGTCAACACCGTAGAGTTTATTAAATTTGATGTTGCTAAGTTTACCTCAGGATTTACTACGAGCAATCTATCAGCAAGATCCAAATAGGCGTCATTAATCTTGTTCAATGCTTGAGATAGAGCTTTCAATACTTTGCTATTATCAATTGCCTCTCAATCATGAGATTCCTTCCTAATCAACTGTTCATTTAACCTGCTATCAAGCCCAAGTCCCCAACCTTTCTCCATCCCATTCAAACTGCTTTCTCTTACTCTCCTCCCATTTTCAGCGGCTCCTGCTCATTATCTTTTCTTACAGTTCTTTCCCTTTTTTTTCTAATCATAGCATTAGAATTGTAATGTTCACTTATACAAGGATAAACCTCTTGCTCAACACATCTCAAGCAACCATCCTTTAATGTATCTTTTGCAACTAAATCATTTTCTTTGCGATTCACATGTTCTGGTTTTAGGTCTGAAAGACGGAGATTTAAATAGGATTATTGGAATTGGTTGAATCAACTTATTACTCCATATCATCTGGATCACCAAAACACTGAATCCATCATAAATCCCCAAGAACACCCACTCATGGTCTTCAAATGCCAACAAATGAACCAGATCTTCATCCTCTTTAAACTGATTTCATAAAATATTTTGGCATTCCAGAAAAGTGTCAACTTCTAAGCTCCACTCACTGCACAGAATCAATAAGCATTACCATGTCACATCCCAGAAAATCGCCATCTTTAAAATTTGAACTCGCTCCACAGATTTAATAAACTCTGCCATGTTACATCTGAGAAAATCGCCATCTTCAAAGTTGCACTCACTGGTCAGATTTAATAAACTCTATCATGTTGCATCCCAGGAAATTGTTATCTTCTAAACTGCACTCACTGCTGGTCAGAATTAATAAACTCTAACATGCTAACAGTTGACCTGAGTTGTAGTGCTTAATAAACTCAATCATCATTTCCAGCATCCATGTAGGATGTGGTGGCCAGAAAATAACGGATGCTACTTTGAGCTACAAAGTTGCAAGTCCTTGTATTTTGTTGTTGAGAGGTAAAGATTTTGACATTTTTGTTAAAAAATGTCAAAGGGTGAGTTCATTAACAATTTTTCCCTTTCATTAGTTGCACTGGTTCCCCACCCCACAAAAAGTCATGTCAATATCACCAATCTAACTGACTACCTTATGAGGTTGAGATACTAGATAGGATTTGGTCAGACACGGATGGTTGAGATCAGTCTTAGTAACAAATAAAAAACACATCATACCGGACTCAGCTAACCAATTCAGACCTAATGAATACAGAATTGTCCACCTCAGACTTAAACGGACAGATTAGTAAGTCTCAGTCTAACAGCAGCGGTCCTAATAATAACGTCACATTAAATATTCCCTTCGCTTATCTCTTTAACCCTAATCACAAGCTTGATCCCGAAAATATTAATCTAGTGTCATTCGTAATGCATCTGATTATTTTTTCCTTGTTAAGTTGTGCAACAGACACTCAGACACTTAAGTCTAAAGCAACATTCATAACCTAAAAGCAAGTTAAGTTTGGGGTTTGTCTACCAATTCAACCTCCAAAACATGTGATGTTGTGGGATATAGGTCAGATGATTTAAAATTGTCCATCACCAATTCTGGACATTGAATGAACTGACCCAACTTTTCATTATTTAAACTCACCTTTAGACTCAACACAAACAACTGATTAGTAAATGCAAGGAAAGAAGGAAAACCTAATATAGCCGATTAAGGTATATGGAAAAGTTGTAAAGGGAAGCCCCGAGTCATTCTTTGAGATTCTTCCACAAAACAAGGCGGAGCATATAACAATAACGTGCTAAGAAATTAACACTTCCATTAGAAAACCCCCAATTGCATTGTCACCTCCGAACTACGGGTGAGCAGTCAAAGTGTATGTAACTACGAATATACTTCGTAAATACATAATCATTCTGACACAAACTCACAAATGTAAGATCTTTTGAACGGAAAACTCGTTGTAAGAGCTTTTGAAGACAAAATCTGGCACACTCAAATCAAAGAAAAACGATAGAGAAGGCAGTAAAAGAGAAATTAAAAGGGAAGACATGTTTTTCACGTTGCAGTAGCATATAACACTCGTAAATGACTGCAGCCTTACCTAGATCGAGCGACGTTACCACACTGGTTGCACTTAGGTTTATTAAGCCCTCGCAGATTCTTCGAGGTGTTGATGGTGGGAGGGGTGGAGACCGCGGCGGAGGTATCCGCCATGGGTTTGCCTAAGGCGGGAAAAGAAGCAGCCATATAAGAAACCTGTGTAATTAAGCTAACAAGTTTTCACCCGATGGATAATACGTTCTCAGATGTGAGATCGCGGCGGCGCGTGCTTTATTTACGATAACAAGTTTTTCGTTTAGGCTGAGCTCTATTCAGCTTCGCCTAACTATTTACGTTATTTATATTCAAAGGCTTATGACATCGCCTACCCCAAAAGTTAAGACGGCTGATGCTTACTAATTGAGGGTGTAGTAGTAAATTTACGACACGATACTACTAGAGGGGTTAGGGGGTTTACTTCTGATCCATCTGTAGGGGTGGTAGGACCAAAATGTTAAAAATTGAAAACAGTGTTTATTCTTATTCTTATTTTCCTGCATTTGATCGTCATCCAATAAAATGCACTCACCATATTATTTTATTTATCAATTTAGTCAAGTTTTAATTAAATTTTATAAGTGATGGTTTCATTTTAATTTTTTTCCTGAATAATTATGAAATACAAACTACACATTTTGATGTAAAAATGAATAAATTTCATTAACTTTTTGGCATTTTCCGATTAACAAAAAATGAATTTAATCCAAGTACAGTTTGATGATGGAATATTAAGTTATTAGTGGAGGATCAATGAATTAAAAATTTATTTTTCGTGTTATTATGGGCTAAAGAAAACCCAGACAATTAAAACTTCAGATATTTTTTTTCATTTTATATATTATATGGTGTCATATGAAAGATCATAAAAATTGATGAATTTTGATCCATATTTTCAAAAAAAAATGAATAAAATATAAAAAACGTGTAGAAGTTTAAAAAAATTGTGGTTTAATGACATCCCATGATGTCACCCAAGCCAAATTATCTATGAGCATCGTTGGGCCCCACAATGCACTACCTCAGCCTTACTTCCTCTTTTCTTTTTCTTTCACGCCGTCAACCCCCTTCATATTTACCTCCCTCCACCAGTTCACCCTCTTTCCCATTTTTACTAATCATTTTAGCTTACCACTACATGAAATTAGGAATCTAAAATTTTGATCTTTAACATTTTGGACTCCTAATACTACACCACTCCAAATGACCTTAGTATGTCAAATAAGCTCTTCAATTTTAATGAATCAATCACATTAACTCATCTATTAATAAAAGCATCACTTGAACACATATACTCCTTCCAGTCCCAAATGAAGTTCACACTTTCTTTTTTGGGTAGGTCCTAAATAAACTTCACACTTAGACACTTCTTCTCCCATCTTTATTTGGCAAATAATCTACATCAAAACAGTGTCACAACAGTGTACTCTACAGTAAAGTCAAATTTATTTCTTTAATCTGTTTAAAGTCAAACTATGAAATTCATTTGGGACCGGAGGGAGTACTATATAAAAAGGATCGTTGTGATCAAATTTGTTGGAAAGCAACTATTTTAGCCTGTTAAAGATGTTTTTACGTGGACTGTTTTCAGTCCCAGATTATATCAATCTAGACTTAAACAGAACAGACTTAAACAGACAAATCAGACCACACTTTCATAATTATAAAATACACAAAGACCAGACCAGATATCCTTACAAAGATGAACTCCTATACCTTTGTATAGGGCTGGGTCCGAAAAACCGAAAACCGAAAACCGAATCAAATTAAACCGAACCGCGGCCAAATAAAACCGAACCACTACGAAACCGAAACCGAATGTAAAAAACCGAACCGAACCGAAGTTGTTTGGTTCGGTTTTGGTTTTTACCCTTCAAAACCGAACCGAACCGAACAAACCGAACTATTTAAAATATGAAATTTATATGTCAATTGTTAAGCATTAATTCTAATAAATCTTAATATCATCAATAATCTTTGGTTTTCTTGTGTTAGAGAAACAATGTTTGTGTTATGTTTAATTTAATTTAGTTTATAATTTCATTTACACATTCATTGTCTGTAATAATGTAGCTATATTGAATGATGATAATATGTGTTTAGTAGTTATTAGTAGTAATTAACTTTTATTTTAAGATAACTTAAAGATTATATATTGATAAAACAGTAAATATTCATCTCAACTATATCACATAGAACGTATACATTCATGAACTTTTTTCGAACTACTCACAAACAAATTAAATTAAATCAATAATATATACAGTTTTATCTATCTCGCATACTCATATGATTCAAGACATATTTATCTCTTCTCATTTTTATTTTATTTGTTGTTGTATTGTGCATGCATTTTTATGTAATATATTTGATCCCTCTAAGTATTATATCAATTTTAAATCAATTGAGAATTTTTTGGTAAAAACCGAAAAAACCGAAACCGAACCGAAACAATCCGAACCAATCAAACCGTGGTTCCAAGTTTTGGAGTGTAAAACCGAACCGAAACCGAACCGAACTTTTTACTTTGATTCTATATTTGGTTTTAGGCCAAAACCGAACCGCAAGAACCGAACCCACCCCTACCTTTGTATAATACATATCCTTACTAATAAAGTTGAACCTTGAAATTGAAATTGAATTTTCAACTATTTGCTATTGAGTACAATTATGAATTTACATATTGCTATTGAGTCCAATTAATTCAGACCACATTTGCAAGTAATATAATCTTAAGGCAAGTTATGTAAATCATGTTGTTGAGTTTAATCCAACACGATATAGTAAATATATGTATGAACACTCAGTTTTTACGTGGAAACCCGAAAGGGAGAAAACCACGGGACTTTTTAGGCTAATGTCCAAGCCCTCTCTTTCTCATTAGGACTCTCCTCACCATTACATAGTACATTTTGAGCTCCTATTAATGGAGTATTGTAAGCTATTCTAGTGAGAAGGAAGAAGAAGGAAAAAGATCCATAATATGGAGGGAAACTCCCATATTTATAGAGAATTGGGGAAGGGGATGCTCTCCACCCTAATGGGCCGCATGGGCCGGAGTGGGCCCAAATGGCTAAAGTGGGCCGGATGGGCCGAAATGGGCCTAGCTGCTCGGGCTCCGTACTACGTAAAGCCTTGGACTCATGAACAGTAATAGGCCGGGATAATATATCCCAACACAAGTCCCCCAGTTTCTTGAGTAGTGAGCTCGCGAATCTGCTCGAGAAAATATACTCTGCCTGCACTCTTCCTCTGTCTTGCTGGAAACTGTGTCTTCACATAATCATCATATATGAGTGAGTGTCTGCACTCCTGAACGTAATCTACCAGTGAGGCACCCCCCTTCCCGACAGGGTCGGGCGAAGGGTGCTCCTCCACGGGCACACTCTCCCTGAATGCATCAGGCGGGAGTAAAGAACTTTGACGCGAGCTTTCCAATCGGAGAAGCTTAGAGGTCCATCATCTATAAACCGACGTCGCGGTACTGTCAAAACATGATGCACGTGTGTATGTATGAATGTATGAGGTATGATGCATGAATGTATGTATGCATGTAATGTATGTATGTAATGTATGAGAGAGGGAATGCAAGATGTGATAGAAGCAGTAGCTCTCATCGATAACCCGGGCATGTCAGCGCCGAGAAGCAGACGCGCTGCGTAAGACGGGTCCCCCATCCGAGATGGCATGGGCGGAGCCGAAGGTGGACTAGACATGATGCCGCCGAGGGGCCAATCATGCTGCATACGACGGGTCCCCCATCCGAGATGGCATGGGCGGAGCCGGAGGTGAACTAGGCATGATGCCGCCGAGGGGCCAATCGAGCTGTATAAGAGATGTTCGTCGCCATCCTGGAAGGGATGGGCGAGCCGAACACGATCCAGACACGACGGCGCTGGGGCGCTGATCGTGCTGCATATGAGACGTTCGTCGCCATCCTGGAGGGGATGCGTGATCCGAACGTGAAAGAGACACGATGGCGCTGAGGGGCCGATCGTGCTGCATAAGACGGTCGTCGCCATCCTGAAGGGAATGTGCGAGCCGAACCGTGAAGCCAGGTACGATGGCGCTGAGGGGCCGATCGCACTGCATAAGACGTTCGTCGCCATCCTGGAAGAGATGCGCGATCCGAACGTGAAAGAGACACGATGGCGCTGAGGGGCCGATCGTGCTGCATAAGACGGTCGTCGCCATCCCGGAGGGAATGTGCGAGCCGAACCGTGAAAGAGACACGATGGCGCTGAGGGGCCGATCGTGCTGCATAAGACGGTCGTCGCCATCCTGAAGGGAATGTGCGAGCCGAACCGTGAAGCCAGGTAAGATGGCGCTGAGGGGCCGATCGCACTGCATAAGACGTTCGTCGCCATCCTGGAAGAGATACGCGATCCGAACGTGAAAGAGACACGATGGCGCTGAGGGGCCGATCGTGCTGCATATGAGACGTTCGTCGCCATCCCGGAGGGGATGCGTGATCCGAACGTGAAAGAGACACGATGGCGCTGAGGGGCCGATCGTGCTGCATAAGACGGTCGTCGCCATCCCGGAGGGAATGTGCGAGCCGAACCGTGAAGCCAGGTACGATGGCGCTGAGGGGCCGATCGCACTGCATAAGACGTTCGTCGCCATCCTGGAGGGAATGTGCGAGCTGAACGTGAGCTGGGTACGATGGCGCTGAGGGGCCGATCGTACTGCATAAGACGGTCGTCGCCATCCTGGAGGGAAATGGGCGATCCGAACCGTGAATCTGGACACGATGGCGCTGAGGGGCCGATCGTGATGCATAAGACGTTCGTCGCCACCCTGGAAGGGATGGACGATCCGAACGTGAGCTGGGTACGATGGCGCTGAGGGGCCGATCGTACTGCACAAGACGGTCGTCGCCATCCTGGAGGGAAATGGGCGATCCGAACCGTGAATCAGGACACGATGGCGCTGAGGGGCCGATCGTGATGCATAAGACGTTCGTCGCCACCCTGGAAGGGATGGACGAGCTGAACGTGAGCTGGGTACGATGGCGCTGAGGGGCCGATCGTACTGCATAAGACGGTCGTCGCCATCCTGGAGGGAATGGGCGATCCGAACCGCGAATCTGGACACGATGGCGCTGAGGGGCCGATCGTGATGCATAAGACGTTCGTCGCCATCCTGGAGGGAAATGGGCGATCCGAACGTGAGCTGGGTACGATGGCGCTGAGGGGCCGATCGTACTGCATAAGACGGTCGTCGCCATCCTGGAGGGAATGGGCGATCCGAACCGCGACTCTGGACACGATGGCGCTGAGGGGCCGATCGTGATGCATAAGACGTTCGTCGCCATCCTGGAGGGAAATGGGCGATCCGAACGTGAGCTGGGTACGATGGCGCTGAGGGGCCGATCGTACTGCATAAGACGGTCGTCGCCATCCTGGAGGGAAATGTGCGATCCGAACCGTGAATCTGGACACGATGGCGCTGAGGGGCCGATCGTGATGCATAAGACGTTCGTCGCCATCCTGGAGGGAAATGGGCGATCCGAACGTGAGCTGGGTACGATGGCGCTGAGGGGCCGATCGTACTGCATAAGACGGTCGTCGCCATCCTGGAGGGGATGGGCGAGCCGAACCGTGAATCTGGACACGATGGCGCTGAGGGGCCGATCGTGATGCATAATACGTTCGTCGCCACCCTGGAAGGGATGGACGAGCTGAACGTGAGCTGGGTACGATGGCGCTGAGGGGCCGATCGTACTGCATAAGACGGTCGTCGCCATCCTGGAAGGGAATGGGCGAGCCGAACCGTGAATCTGGACACGATGGCGCTATCGGGCCGATCGTGATACAGAAAAATAGTGATGATCATCTCATGGCCCTCGGCCTGTCGGTGAGTGATAATCGTCTCGCGGCCCTCGGCCGTGCTGGTGATGTGTCAAGTCTCTCTCCTGATTGGCTGTGAGAAGCCGATCGTCTGCCAGGACTTCATCCGGGAAAGAATGGTGAGCCTGAAATAAATCTGGGCGATGTCCCTCCTACCTGATCTGGGGAGCTAATCGTCGTTCGTCTACCGTATCCGTGGTCCTATGTACGGACCGCTAAGCGGTGTACACTCGGCACGCACAGACTCCGATAAAGAACTGGTTCTTCGTTCTTCCCAAGTCTCGTGAGTACTGGTCTCCTGGTTTCGCAGGAGACGTTCGTCATCCCAACTATGAGAAGAAACAGGTTTATCCACGTCGGGATTCCCTATTCTTCGTTCGTCCCTGTCGTGGTCCTACTAATCTTCTTACTTCGAAGAAGACGTTTGGTCATCCAACGATCGCAAGGAGGAACAGGTTTATCCACGTCGGGATTCCCTATACTTCGTTCGTCCTTGTCGCGGTCCTACTAATCTTCTTACTTCGAAGAAGACGTTCGGTCAACCAACGATCGCAAGGAGGAACAGGTGTATCCACGTCGGGATTCCCTATTCTTCGTTCGTCCCTGTCGTGGTCCTACTAATCTTCTTTCCTCGAAGAAGACGTTCGGTCACCCAACGATCGCAGGGAGGTCACTGGTTTATCCACGTCGGGATTCCCTGCTTCGTCGTCCCATGCTCGTGGCCCTACTAGCCTTCTGCTTTTGCAGAAGGTGTTCATCGATCCACGGGAAATGGGAGGAACTGGTTTATCCTGCCGAGGTTCCCTTTGGTACGTCTAGCCTCCCCCACGTTCTACTAACCTCCGCGTCGGGAGACGTTCGTCATACGCGGCGAAGGAAGATCAGGCATACCTCGTCAAGACTCCCTCTCTCATAGGAGCTTCTCTCTCCCCTTCTCCCCATCTTTTTTTTTTTTTTTTTTTTTTTTTTTTTTTTTCTTCTTCTTTTTTTTTTTTTTTTTTTTTTTTTTTTTTTTTTTTGAGGGAGGAAAATACGTTCATCGGTTCTAAGAATGACCACAAGTGATGTCACACATAATGGTGGTGGGATACAAAAATGAATAAAATGACGAGGCGATGGAATGGCTGGTCGTCATGCGATGGCGATGGTCACCCTCCTGGAGGGGAGGGGTGAGCCCGATCGCCAACTCAAGAAGGTCGGCGCTGGGAGCCGATATACAATGATCATAAAGTCGCTGAGCAGTCGGTCCTGATAAGGAGATGACAATAGTGTCCGATCAGGCTGATATATCCGAGCAGCGGCTCTCATCCACGCAGCGCGGGGATGAGACCGGTCTTCAAAAGATAAACACGTCGTGCCGAGAGGCCGATCGTGATATAATGATATCGACAATGAGAGGCCGATCAGAGAGAACAAGCAACGGCCGTCATCCGCGAGGAGCGGGGATGAAACCGGTCTTCAAATAAGATAATCATGCCATGCTGAGGGGCCGGTCATGATATGATGATGTCGGCGATGAGAGGCCGAACATGATGTGACAGTGTTGGCAATGAGAGGCCGATCTGAGAAAATCAAGCAACGGTCCTCGTCCGCGAGGGCGGGGACGAGGCCGGTCTTCAAAAGATAAGCACGCCGAGCCGAGAGGCCGGTCATGGTATAATGGTGTCGGCAATGAGAGGCCGACCGGGAAGAATCAAGCAACGGCTCTCGTCCGCGAGGAGCGGGGACGAGGCCGGTCTTCAAGTATGGAAAGCACGCCGAGCCAGGAGGCTGGTCGTGATATAATGATGTCGGCAATGAGAGGCCGATCAAGTGTATCCGTGCAACGGCTCTCATCCGCGCAGCGCGGGGATGATACCGGTCTTCAGGTGATAAACACGCCGTACCGTGAGGTCGGTCGTGATGTAAGGATGGTCCCACGACCCTCGGCCGTAGTGGTCTCCTCTAGGCCACCGGCTCCTGGTGTGGAGATGCTCGTATCACGGCTCTCAGCCGTGATGGTTTCCTCTTGGCCCTCGGCCTCTGGATGATGGATGATCGTCTCACGGTTCTTCGCCGTGGCAGTTCCCTCTAGACCCTCGGCCTCTAGGTGTTCTTCCTAGGCCATCGGTCTCTGGGGTGGAGATGCTCGTCCCACGGTTCTCAACCGTGGTGGTCTCCTCTAGGCCCTCGGCCTCTAGGTGGAGATGCTCGTCTCACGGTCCTCAGCCGTGATGGTCTCCTCTTTAGCCGGCCCTGCACGTCTTCAAGACTCGGGCCGAGCGTCTTCTAATCATTTCGCTCCAGCGCGCCGAGTGGCTTCAGCTACGCAACAAGCATGATAATGGGCCACACGGCCCGACAATAAATATGCACACATAACCATCTGCATGGCCTTCTCTCTAACACCCACGATTACCGGCCCATGGGTCATCGTGACCCTCGGCCCGGCTCATCGTGCGGGATTAATGGACGTAGCAGCTCGCGGCGGGGCCAATTAGCAGCCCGCCGGACGTCACATAGAAATATTCATCGGTCTGTGAGTTTTCAAACTCAGACCCAAGTTGGTCGCACCGCCCCCGGAAAAACGAGGTTGAGTGCTTTGGTGCCTTCGGGCCCCACAGGCCGCGTTGGCAATAGTCACTCTGCGCCTGATGGCGTAGATGGTACCAGGGTACGATCGTCGCTCGAGCACTCGGTGTCGTGCGGACTAATGCGTAACCCCCCAAATTAAAACGCGTCATCGGGGCACTACCCTCTGGAGACGCTCAGATCGCAAATCAAGCTGATCGAGAGTGGGCCATCGGGGCCACAAGAAGTCAAATAATTAATAAAATGTTAGTTGAACTAACCATCACTTGAGCCTCGCTCAGCATTATTTAATTCGGGACATTTTATCCCTAATAAATAATAGTGACATAACCGGTAATAGCAATGATACTTCCCTATCAAAGGCCATTCAAGTATACTCCGTTCGCTAATTAAAGCCGATCAGGAGCGGGCCAACAGGCACACAACAACCAGTCATTAAATTTAAATGACGGTGAAACTAATTATCACTTTGAGCATCGCTCTCACTATTTAATTCTGGGACATTTTAATCCCTATTAAATAATGGGATAATATACTAGCAATACTTCGAGTTTTCACTACTAAAGTGTTTAATTAGCATATGATGGAATTAAAATACTTAGCTTTGAAGTCGTGCCCTTTAGCCGAGAAGCAACTATGGAAGAGTTGTCCAAATAATGTTCTGCTTGTTGACTGAGTCAACACACTCCAAATAATGTCCTGCTACGTACGGTGACCGCCCAAAATAATGCTTGCTGCTCTGTCTTTGTTGCTAATTCCACTCTTGGATTTCGGCCTTTGTACGTGGCCTGCTCTCAGCCAAGTGAGGAGCATCTTGTGGAGAGGCAAATGAACACCCCACCAAGGAAGGGCAGTATCGTTCGGCCCCTGATTGACGGTAGCAATGGAGCCATGGCAGCTCAACGGCGGCCATGGAGGCTTGTCTTCGGCGAGGGATCAGCCCCGGTCAGATATTTGGCTCTCGAGAAATCCAAGTCGCCATTAATGTCGGAAATCAAGGAAGCTTAGGTTGGCAGCGAGGTGGATAAGCTAGCCGTGAACGGTGACCGGCGACCTCGTAACGGAGGCAAAAGACCGTAAATACCGCGAAGAGTGTCGGAAACCATAGCTCCTGGTTTACTGCAGACGATGATAACCATCTGAGGCGGCACCAGTCACTTTCGAGCTGCCATAGTGAGGTCCAGTGAGCAGCGACCTTCAGTTGATGGTGCCGACGTAACATGGACGGTTACGGCGATTCCCGGCGGCCCTGGCAGTTTCCGGCAAAGGTTGGGATGTTCCTGATGTGAAGAAACCAGATCTCTATATTCTTCTTTTCTCAGAATCATTTTTTGTAAAATTTTTCTCCTTTTTTGGTGAAATCAGTCCACTTCGTATGAATTTTTGTAGAAAAAACTCAAGAACGGTAGAACACACGAATCTTTTTGGACAGATTCCCACAGACGGCGCCAGTGTTGAGTCTAATCCAACACGATATAGTAAATATATGTATGAACACTCAGTTTTTACGTGGAAACCCGAAAGGGAGAAAACCACGGGACTTTTTAGGCTAATGTCCAAGCCCTCTCTTTCTCATTAGGACTCTCCTCACCATTACATAGTACATTTTGAGCTCCTATTAATGGAGTATTGTAAGCTATTCTAGTGAGAAGGAAGAAGAAGGAAAAAGATCCATAATATGGAGGGAAACTCCCATATTTATAGAGAATTGGGGAAGGGGATGCTCTCCACCCTAATGGGCCGCATGGGCCGGAGTGGGCCCAAATGGCTAAAGTGGGCCGGATGGGCCGAAATGGGCCTAGCTGCTCGGGCTCCGTACTACGTAAAGCCTTGGACTCATGAACAGTAATAGGCCGGGATAATATATCCCAACACATGTTATTCTATATGTTAATACGGCAGTTACATTCCAAAATTAATTAATGAGCTCATTAAAGTGTTTGAAGTATCAAAAAGGGAAGAAGTTCAATACAAAACAAATTTTTGATGTCAAATATTACATTCCGTATGCTCTCAACACAAATACCATCCATATTTGAGAATACATGAGAATATCAATTAGAGTCTTACAAAAACCTTCCATATTTGAGAATACATGAGAATATCAATTAGAGCTTTAGAGGTACAAATGATAGGTGACTAAGAATAATACGTTCTTTTTACTCCTCATCTTCCACAATTGCATTGAAAAACTTTATTAGCCCACATAATGTAAATTAAATTTAAAATGAGTAACAATTCATATGAAAATATTTGTATTAGCCCACATGAAAAAATTTATTAGGCCACATAACAACACGAAGTCAATAAAATATATTTTTATTAGATATATAAATAGATTTTTATGTATTGCCATTTCTATACAGTACATATTCTGAAGGGATAAAGGGATAAGAACAAATTGTATGTTAGGTGCAAAAGAGTGCAGTGGTGGAGGTGGAAGAGACAAGGACACGTATAGGGACAAAGCACTTTTTAATTTTTATGCCGACTGTGCATTGAATGGAATCACTCTGCATAACATATTTCGAATAAGGGACATTTTGATATAATTTTCATATTCTAATTAATTTTGTATTAAAAATACCATTAGTCAAAGTTGATTGTTATTGAGCAAGAAAAGACAATTTGACGAATTTTTTCTGAACGGAGGGAGTAAGTAAATTGTGAGTACATACACATTGTGTGATTGTCCTAAATAAATATAAATCATATTTATCTATATTTTTATATTCTCCATAAATTTATAGGATTAATATTTTCCAATGTTCTAAAAGGCGCTAGGCGCTAGTCGGGCGCCGGCACAACGCCTAGCGCCTAGGTGGCTAGGCGGGCGCCTAGGCGTTGATTAATCGGAGACATAAAAATTATAATTTTATTAATATTTTTGCATAAATATGATAAGTAATGTTATGTTTATATGTATATAAAATATAACACACACACTTTAACAGGCATGAATGATAAGAGTTTTCACATTTAACAACATATAATAATTATACATACTTCTTAACTTCAAGTAATACGACGTAATAATTATTAATAAATAATAATAACACTTAAGAATATATATATATAAAAACATCTATAGTATTTATTTTAATCTACGACTAGTAGCTTTCTTCATATACGTGGTTAGAGTTAAAGATACATATATATCTCTTAGAATACTAAAATAAAAGGCAAAATAAAATGTTCGATGAATCTAGATGCCTAGGTGGCCGATTAAGCGCTCTAGGCGGGTAGTTAGGCGCCTTAGGCGGCCGACTAATTCACCTAGGCGCCAAATCAATTAGTCGGAGTTCCTAGACTAAAATCGGGGCGCCCGACTACCGCTTAGCGCCTAGGCGGGGACTAGTCGGGCGCCTAGAGCGATTTTTAGAACCATGGTATTTTCTATTACATCTTAAAAAATTAATTGGCTTAATTAGAAGTATATAATAATGACATGGCCAACTGTATGCTTCCGAAAAGTTTCTCTTTTATACATTTTCGATTTTTCTCCATTCTTTTTTAGTTACAACACTTCCTTTTTCATGTTTGCCAACAGAATACTTTCATTATTAATATATAGAATTCATTGTAAGTAAAAATGAGTGTTTTGGAAATTTAAATTGGGACGGATTGAACAATATTTTTCAAAAATGTCTAATACATTAATAAATAAACTATAACCAAAGTAGGACATGCAATTAGTGCAAAAATCAACATGTTTAGTATATATATTGATTTTGTATCATTTTATTCTAATAAATGGAATCACAAGAGCACATTGAAGTCTAAAAATCTGTAGAAAATGCACAGTGCAAGTAATTATTATTTTTCATATATATTAAATAAATTTCATCTACGTCTTCTACTATTAAAGCTAATTCCAACTCATCATTTAATTTTCTATTCCCATAAATATTATCGCACTACCTACAATATTCATCAAGGAAGTGCGAAGACAAAATTGTTGCATGTCGCGCGCGTCTTTGATTATAGGGCAGGATGAAGATGTGCTGATACACGAGGCATGTTCTAAGATTTTAGACGTTACACCAGGAAACATCATGAGTAACTAACTACATGCTATTGTTGATCGATGATCTAGGAGTTACATATCTTAGTTCAATTAATATTATTCCTTCACACACCGGTACTACTTTCCATGTTGATATGTACAATGTCGAATATCCTAATAGAGCTTCAATGGTTGGATTGCCCAACCATGTCCTTCATTTGAAAATCGGAGCCCCCGATAATGTTACTGAGGAATATTAATCATGCATAAGTTTTATTCAATAGAACGTAATTGGTCATAACCAGATTGAAATAAGAAGTATGACAAGTCATAATTTGAATAGTTATGAAAGATAAAGTTTACATATTAAAAATCTCATTGTCACCATATGACAACTTTATTCAATTTTCGAATAAAACAATTTCTTATGATGGTAAGTTTTTCAATGACAATCAATAAAAGTCAAGGCTAAATTTTGCCAAAAAGAAGGGTCAAGGTTAAATGTTAACACATAAAATATGATTTATACCTTGAAAGAAAAGTTTCATTAATTACCAATTGTACATTGCAATATCAAGAGTACGTAATGCGTAAAGATATCTTAAGATATTCATATGTTCAAAAGAAACAATTTTTTTCACCAACACGGTGAATGTCGTTTATAAAGAGGTTTCCCAATTTAAACCTAACTTAACAATGTGATCTTGGTACGTCAGTGTTACATTACAATGTCACTTTTTAATATATGTTGTTTAGTTAAATTACTATTCACAATCGACAAAAATTTATTTGAAGTAAAACGATTAGTTGTTTAAATATTCTATAAAATATATATCTTACAAAGTATTCAAACATTCACAACTTCCGCCCGGGGCAACGCCCGGGTAAAACACTAGTTGAGGTATACATTAGACAAATGAATTAGTTTCCTCCATAACGGCTTCGCAAGAGTGGACGTATATTATAATAGGATGAATGCGTATTAACACCATAATAATTCAAATGACTAGAAAAGTTACAAAAATATAAACACATCGAAAAACTATTGCTTTCAATAGGAAAGCGTAATTCATTTTTCATGAAATTTGTAGCATATATTCTCCTATAGACTAGATGAATAAGCAGTGCATACACGTGGTATGTCTAGAGAATATACTAGTGTAAAACATATCTATAGAATTACTTTTATTTATCTATTCACTGCACCAAATTGAAAAATAATGTTATATATCTTGGAGGTATCTTACATTATCCGACAAATTAGAATATGGATTATATATTACAAAAAGGTACGTTAAAGATAAATGAATGATTCAATACCAATATGGACCAACCATATGCATGTAGCTAGGTAAGGTACCCACACTTATTAGTAGTACCATTATATAGCATTCGACAATCAAAGTGTATAGGATCTTGTGAAGTTCTAATGTACCCCAAGGCCCAAACAATTTCGATCTAGCTTTGGGGGATACCAAAAGTAGTCCGTCTTTAAAATAATTGAATAAACTTCAAAATGGTTTCTGATTTTAATCCTTATTCAAGACGTCAATTCCTTTTTTTTTGTAAACCTAAAACCATGAACATGTGTGTCAACTTCTACTTCACGCAACTCATCATAACTTCACTTGTAAAATCAATCATGCCGTCAATTTCATATCACATATTTGCTCATAATTTTTACTTGGACTTATTTCAGTCTCATATAAGATTAGACCAAATTAGACATCGACAATTGTAAATTACACAGAGACCAGGTCAGACATCTACCAGACCGAACCAGACTAGATCAGAAAATTTTAGTGCTAGTAAAAACATTCATAGTCTATCTAGGATGTAAATAGGTATGTACGTGTTACCGGTTCCTAAATTGGATTGGAACGGAGCTAAGTGAGCAACGAACCAAACCGATATCCCATCTACTTTGAGTTGGTATCAAGAACCGGACTAAACCGGATCCAATTTCGGTCTTGAGTTTTCCAAGATAAGGCATGCATGGACTAGTGCAAATATTTTTAAATTCAAATAACCCAAAGATTGAACCAAACCCAGCGTATACAAATAAGATTCCAGTCCCATTATACAAATTAAAACTTGTCTTGACTACCTTAGAATCTCCGTGGACACATGGTCATTGCCTCATTGGTGCACCTTTCAAGGATACCTTCAAAATGCTTGTTGTTTAGGAATTACTCATTCACACGCCTATTCGGGGTAACATGTGTTTCAACATGATCATTGGAGTCTTTTTACATCATCCCCATTCATATACGAAGTATATTATATGCACACACGGTCATTAGTATCACCAACATGGTATATTTGTGTCTTTTGATTGAGTTGTGTTGGTTTGATTTGGTTTGATTTGATTTGATTTGGTAAGATAAGATAACATTACGGTAACCCAACCACATAAATAGAGTAGAGTCATAGTTCTTATTCTTATGAAGTAAGGAAACCGATGAAAGAATTAAATTAAAAGTAAACGAGCAAAGGTGCTAGAAGCCTGGAAGCTTAGCTTTGCTCCCTAGGAAGCAGAATTAATGAGCATAAGTGAAGCGTTAAGTTGGCTTAAATGTCATCAGTGGAGTCATATTGAGGTAGAATCGGGTTCTTTGCTAGCTATTCAAGGAGGGTCCAGTTTAGCCTACTCTAGAAATTTAGCTGAAGATATAAGAGATTTGGTGGACACATTTGATAGTGTGATATTTTCTCATGATGATTTGCAAACCGAGCAGCTCATGTTATGGCAACCGTTCTAGGTTCCATGGCTAATTGTCATATTTGGTTATCTTTTTCCCCAAATTTTATGGTTGATGTTCTTGACTATGATTTGATTAATAGTAATTGATTTTATTTCCTTCAAAAAAAATTGTACCAACGTTTAGGATTTTATAATACTACGTATTTTATGAAGCATTTCAAAGCTCCTTTAACTAAAGCACGTGGTACTAATAAAAAAGCTTCTTTGTAAATGTTTTAAAGATCTCAAAGCGTCAAGTACATTGTGATCTGATGGCATCATTATGACACTCTCAAGGAGGAGGTCGCATGTTCGAATCTCATCCTAGTTCAAGGATGTTGGCATTAACGTTGAACAAATACTATAATAGTCACAAAGCTTTCCAAAAAAAAATCTCAAAGCTACTAAAAAAGATGAACTCCTATAGCTTTGTATAATACATAATTGA